CTGAATGAATGTAATAATGCCCTGTGATCCTGCTTTCAGCCTGTTGCATAAGTACTTGAGGTACAGAGTCTACATTCCAGTAGGTGAAGCGTTTTGTAGATCTGCTCACATCTCATCTCCAGACACGTGTTACACAAAGACTCTAAGGAAACAGCAGCCGGTGCTCTTGCGAGCTAGAGGAAAGAAACTCCTGTCCACTCTTTGAAAACGTTACTGCTTTGTCACTTGTTGAGCTTCTGGGATTGCGAGCTTCTTTTTTGCTTCTACAAGGCAAGGACTTTCTATTCTGAAATCCTTGTATCTCGAGTTGGATAAAAGCTTCTATCAAGCTAACAAAGAAAGAGAAATTCTCAGTAAAGGCATCGGGGAAGAAAAAGCTCTTTATCATATACCAAACGCCAAAAGCTGACTGCTCGAGTCGGAGCTCTGCTGACTTTGAGGAGGAGCAGTATTCCCAGCTCTGCCCTGACTGCTCCACACGCTGTCCTAGACAGGCAGCCATTTACCAGGCCCTGCCCGAGGCAGGATTCACAGCCTGGCTCTTAAAGGTCAGGGAGGAGCGAGTGAGCTCAGGGCTTGCCCACACTGACAGACACGCACACACCTACATTCTCAGAACACATCCGAGACTGGAACATCAGTCAAGCCCTTAGAAACCTGTCTGTGCAGTTGGGCTTTTTGCTCCTGCATCCAGCTGATAGATCTTTGCAGGGTATTAATTACATGGCTATACAGTATATGCATGGATTTTTTTTACCGTATCGGGTGAAGCAGGCAGTGCACAGCAGTTAGTTCTGCTGCTGCGTTCTATTGGTAACACGCAGACAATCAGTAATTTCACTGGTGCTGCATCCTGCGTTGGTATCGCCCTGTCACCCAAGGCGCCGGGGGTCGTTTCCTGCAACTGCACATTTTAGATTTTGAAACACTCCGATACCGCGGCCACATCCTCATCAGACCTTTGCTTTTGATTAAAAAAAACAGATGTTGCATAAACTTTTCCAAATCTCTACTGCATCTCCACATACAGCACGAGTCGCTCGTGGGAACCCATTCTTGTGAAAGGGCAAGGATTTTGATCCAGACAGCGTTTAAACACACCGTAAAAAATACCCCCGCTCCCTGCCTCTGCATACTCACAATATCACCAAAACGAAGCACTCATCACCGCTGGGTTGCAGCACGGACTGATTGTGCAACCTCAGCCATAAAACCAGCACAGGGAATTCTTCTTGCGTTCGTGAGCTTTTAAATGTCAAGCAGCCAGCGCTTCTTCGAGCCAAGTTTAACTGCTCCCAAACCACAGAGAGCGACTGGGAGAGCCGGAGACAATGCACCTGTGTTCTTTCTCTCTGTGTCCCTCTCCGCGCCTCCCAAATGCTCGCGGCTCGACAGCTGGGGCTGCAGACGAGCTGCTGGGCCAGTCCAGCTGCTGCTCGACTGGGCGGAACCCGAGACCCTTAGGAACGATACCTTTGCCGCAGCTACTGCTTCGCCCCCCGCCCAGAAACCTCTCCCCGAGCAGCAGGGGGCAGCGACGTGCCACTGCCCAATCTGCCAGGATATCCCAGGGAAGCAAACTCTGACAGCAGGATCCTCTGCTGGAATAACCCCCCCCCCC